CAGACCCTCCTTCCGCAGCCCAGATGAAGAGGGAAATCAGCGCGTTGACTCATCAACTCCGGGAAGCCCTGAACTCAAGAGAAGCCATCGAGAAGGAATACATCGCATCCGAAGCAGCGAAGAGAGCCCTTGAAGCCGCCGTTGGAAAAAGTACCAAAGTGGTGAGTGGAAAACTACCTGCCTTTTGGTCCGACAAACCAAGTGTGTGGTTCGCTCAGGCTGAGTCACATTTCGCGACTCAAAATATTTTGCAAGACGCTACAAAGTATCATTATGTTGTGGGTCAGCTAGATACAGCTACTGCTTCTGAAGTAGAGGACATTATCACTGGTCCTATGGGAGGCCGAACGTATGCAAATTTAAAAGAAAATCTAATTTCTCGGCTGTCCGATTCTGAGCAAAAACGCGTGCGTAAATTAATTTTAGAGGAAGAAATGGGCGATCGCAAGCCGTCACAGTTTCTACGTCACTTGCGTTCACTTGCTGGTTCTAGCGCTGCAGTGAGCGATGCACTGCTCTCTCAGATTTGGTTACAACGCTTACCTTCCACTGCCTCTGCAATTTTGTCATCCCACGCTAATTTGGATTTGAACGCACTTGCAACGATGGCGGACAAAATTGTAGAAGTGGCCCCTCCTCCCTCTGCCGCGGTCCTCGCTATCAAAAATAATCCGGCCCCAGAGGTGAACACGGTCCTGCTTGAAAAAATGGACAAGATGGAACGACTCATCGCTAGTCTCATGACGTCACCGGATCGCCGCGACGATAGGCAACCGCGCTCTCGTTCTCGCTCTCATTCGGGCTCTACTACGTCGCGTTCTCGCTCTCAAAATAATTTCCGAAGCAACAACAGCCCAGCGCGCGATGCTGAGTGTTGGTACCACTCGCGCTACGGTGACGACGCGCGCAAGTGCGTCGCTCCCTGCGCCTACAAGGGAAACGCCAACGGCAACCTGCCGTAGTTGGCGCGGCGGGTTGCCTATCTTCAGCACAGAGCCGTCTCGTGGTCACCGAGCAGACTACCAAGCAAGGTTTCTTAATTGACACGGGATCGGATCTCTGTTGCTACCCTCGCCGTCTGCTGCAGGGTAACCGACCCAAGCTTACCAACCACGTACTCAGTGCTGCCAACGGAAGTGACATCAAGACTTATGGACTTCTGAATTTGGCTCTCAATTTTGGTTTACGTCGTTCTTTTACATGGTCTTTCATCATTGCTGACGTTTGTATGCCTATAATTGGTAATGATTTTCTTGCCCACTATCATCTCCTGCCTGACTGCAAACTTCGAAGGCTCGTCGACGGCAAAACAGGCCTTCACGCCTCGGCCAGCGCTGCGAGCGCCTCTCAGCCCAGCGTAAAGGCCGTGAGTGACTCACAGCCCTACGCGGAGCTCCTAAACCAGTTCCCTGACGTCATTCGCCCTCCAGGTAAGGCCGCCGCGTCATCAAGCACAACACTGTGCACTTTATTCGCACGACGCCAGGCCCTCCAGTCTCCTGCAAGCCCCGCCGACTTGTTGGTGCCAAGCTGACCACCGCCAAGGCTGAGTTCGCCGCCATGCTGGATGACGGCTCAGCCCGGCCCTCTGACAGCAGCTGGTCCTCCAATCTGCACATGGTTCCGAAGAAAGGAGGATCAGGCACTCGTCCGTGTGGTGACTATCGCCATCTGAATTCCAGAACAATACCAGACTGCTATCCGGTAAGGCACATTCACGATTTTGCACACAACATTAGTGGCTGCAAGATTTTTGCCCTAATTGACTTGGTGAAGGCTTATCAGCAAATACCTGTGCACGAAGACGACATTTGCAAAACTGCTGTGGCTACTCCGTTTGGACTTTTTGAATTTCCTTTCATGCCTTTCGGTTTGCGCAACGCTGCCCAAACTTTCCAGAGATTTATGGACGAGGTTACCCGTAATCTGGACTTTTGTTTTTGTTATATTGATGATGTTCTAGTTTTTTCGCGCACTCCCGCGGAACACCATGAGCACTTGAAAATTCTTCTCTCGCGACTTTCCCAACACGGTGTCGTGATCAACCCAAGTAAGTGCATTTTTGAAGCCAATTCTCTCACTTTTCTGGGCTATAAAGTTTCTCCAGAGGGCATAGCACCCCCTGCGGAGCGCGTAGAGGCACTACGTTCGTACCCTCTGCCAAAGACGGTCAAAGATGTACGTCGTTTTCTCGGTATGATAAATTTCTACCGACGGTTTCTGCCCCGTGCTGCCGAGATGCAAGCACCCCTCCACGAAGCTCTAGCGGGCCCAACGGTAAAAGGATCAAAACCGTTTCCTTGGACCCCTGCTCGAGAAGAAGCTTTTCGTGCCTGCAAGGAACACCTTGCGAATGCTACCCTGCTAGCCTACCCGGTAGAGAATGCAGAACTCGCTCTCTTTACTGACGCATCATTAAAATGCGTTTCTGGCGTTTTAATGCAAGCTGTTGACGGGGACTGGCGGCCCCTTGCATTCTTCTCTAAGAAAATTTCAGAGCGCCAGTCAACGTGGCCGGCGTACCACAGAGAGTTGCTCGCTATTTATGAGAGTGTACAGCATTTCAAACACGCTCTCGAAGGTCAAGTATTTGCAATTTTTACTGACCACAAGCCTCTAACCTACATTTTTTCTCAGAAAAGCGACAAGATTGGCCCCGTGCAACGTAATCAAATTACGTTCATCAGTATGTACTCAACGGACATACGCTTTGTCAATGGTGCTGCAAATATCCCGGCTGATACTTTTAGCAGAATCGACGCCATCACGCTTACCTCCGTGGACTTCAAGGACCTGTCCCAGGCCCAAGAAGAGGATGACGAGTTGCGTGGGTGGTCTACCTCCGACTCGTCTCTCCAGCTGGAATCATCATTGGTCCCCGGCACGGACATCCGACTGCAGTGCGATGTCTCCACCGGCCGACCTCGCCCCTTCGTTCCGGCCTCATTGCGCCGACGAGTCTTCAACCAGCTGCACGGGTTAAGCCACCCAGGCGTCCGCAGCACCGTCCGCATGGTCGCCGCCCGCTACGTCTGGCCCGGCATGAACAAGCAGGTCGCCGCGTGGACGCGCGCCTGCCTGCCCTGCCAGCGTGCCAAAGTTACACGTTACGTGACGGCGCCCCTAGGCAACTTCACCGCGCCCTCATCACGCTTCAGTCACGTTCATATTGACTTAATTGGTCCAATGCCGCCCTCGCATGGTTATAAATACTGTTTAACTTGTGTTGACAGATGGACGAGATGGACCGAGGTCCATCCGCTCCGAGACATAACAGCCGACACGGTGGCCCTGGCGTTCCTCACCTGCTGGATATCCCGCTTCGGTGTCCCAGAACGGCTTACGACAGATCGTGGTTCCCAGTTCCGATCACAACTGTTTTCGCAGATGGCTCGGAACTTTGGCATTCACCTTTCCCATTCTGTGGCCTACCGACCTCAGTGCCAAGGCATCATCGAACGGACCCACAGACAGCTCAAAGCCGCCATCATGTGCTACGCTGACAACATCCACTGGGTCGAGTCGCTTCCGCTCATTCTACTCGGAATTCGCTGCGCCTTCAAAGAAGACCTACAAGCAACCACGGCCGAGCTCGTTTACGGACAGCCTCTTCGCTTGCCTGGCGAGTTAGTCGCTGCCCGCCCGGAAGACTCCGAGAGTCCGTCCGAACTCCTTGCGCGCCTACGGCAACACTTCAGCAAACTGCGGCCAACGCCAGCTTCACGCCATGCCAATCCAGGTACTTTTGTTTACAAAGATATCACTAAGAACTCCCATGTCCTTCTCAGAGTCGACAAGGTTCGCCGCTCGCTCGAGGCGCCGTACATCGGCCCATTTCGAGTCATCTGTTGGGACGACACAGCAAAAACCGTCGTCCTGGACCTGAAAGGAGTGCCCACCACCGTCTCCGTGGATCGAGTCAAGCCCGCCTATCTGCTCACCGGAGACGACCCCGTCCCCACCTCCACGCAGTCCGCCGCGAAGGCAAGAAACTCCGCCCTGCAACGCGCCGCGCCTGGACAGCAATGGTCTGCGACCATGCCCAGCCCGACCCAGTCGCAGCCGCCGCCGTCATCGCCGAGGGACGCGCCGCCGACGCCCCTCCAGTCGCCGGTTCCCTTCACGGCGTCCCCAGACACGTCAACGACGTCGACACCAGGACACCTGCGACGGAGCCGCCGTGTGCGGTTTTCTCCGGACCGCTTTATCCCCGGATAAACCGTCTTCCCAGGGGGGTGGTGTGGCGGTATTTCGCCACTCGCTACAGTAAAACCATTACTGTAGTACGGTAATCGAATTATTTGAGCTACACAATATTTCGTATTGGTCGAGGT